TATTGCAGTGCAAAATGATGTTTTTCAAATATTCTTGCAAATTGAAAATCGGAATAGTGGCTCAGTCTTTTTCACTCTGATCCCCTTAAATAAAGTTTTGAGCTAATCGCCTTCAGATGAGCAGGAATTGATTTGACTTTAAGGGCAGTTTTAGTTTATTAAGCTAATTAACTTTACTCTGCATCTCTGAACAAACAAATCAGACCTTGTTTTGAGAGAAAGCCTTTTATCATTAAACATTAAGCTTCTCCATAGAAACAGGATCTTAAAGGACAGAGAAGATGTCATGACCTTCTGCTGAGACTGAGAACCTTTCAAAGCTGCTCTTCCTCCACTCAATGTTTCCCTCCATGCAGATCTTTACGCAGCTTCAGAAATAACAGCAGGAGACTCACCAGCAGCTCCGCTGATCGGAGGCTTGAACCAAAGGAAAGGCTGGATCAGGTGGGGAGGAAAAACTTGTTCAGTCCGCGGATGAAAGGCAGGTTTGACCTTCTGAGATGGAGATCCGCGCAGCTGGATTGGTTGAAGGCTGAGGGCGCATCGGTGGATGAGGGGTGGATGGAGGCAGGATGCAGACCGAGCTGCAGCTCAGGGGGAGATCAATGAAGACTGGAAACACCGGATCACTGGAGATATACACAGGCAGGGAGGGAGGGGGGCAGGAGTCCCTGTCACAGGGCCGGGCGGCTGCTGCATGCCGCCGCATGACGGACCAGAGGGAGGACAGTGACATCTAGTGGCAGACCGAAGGAAACACAAGGCTGATAAAGACCAAAGACTTCCGCATCATTTAATATCAATACAGGTTATTAGAGCTGCTTCTATTTAATGATTTAGGAATGGAGTCATTTCAATCAATATGAAAAGAAGAAAAGAGGAATTAATACCATGAAAAAAATGTACATAGCGTTTTCACTGAATTCAATAGCAAAACATGTTGAATAAAAATAAACAAAAAAAAACAAAAAAAAAATAAAAAAAACCCAGCTGATTCTAAATGCTGCTGCCATGAGCTCTGAACTCTGCCTGCTTCCTGTTAAATCCAGAATAGAATTTAAAATCCTCCTTCTCACATATAAAGCCTTAAATGGCCAAG